GATTCAGATCTGGAGGATGAGGAGGTGTCACTAGGTGGATGGGGCTGCAGGAACTACACATGTAAAGTCCTTGCAGATTTTAGGATATGGCAACATTGTATTCTAGAAATTATGAAAGGCCAGAATGACTTGAGGTTGGAGAACAAGGGCAAACCAGTGACTAGCAGTAGGAACTAGACAAACAGCTTTAGAGGGGGAAGGGGCGGGAAGGAGATGTGACATAATCATAATTGTATTTTAATGAATTAGCTGTAGGTGTAGTAGTAAGAACTAATTGTTGGGGCATAAGTTGACATAAGAAGAACAATTAGGAAGTTATTGCTGGAGTCCAGAAGAAATAACAGTTGTGTGGCTTGGTTGAGGGTAATACAGATATAAAAAAGGTAGATAGATGCAAGCGGAGGTAAGATGGATAGGAGTAGGTAACAGGTTAGGTATGGGATTGGTGAAGGTGAGGATTAAGGATGGGTCCTATATCTCTAGCTGAGATGGAGAACAATGGAAGAAGGCCAGGTTTGAGTAAGACAAACCCTGGAGGTCTTAATTTGGGCTTGTGCAAAATACTAGTCAAACTTTTCCTTGAAGTTCTGTGCAGCTCTAAAATTGTACGATTGTATTGTATAACTCAATCCTTTCTTTAAAATAAGAGGCAACCTAATTTGAGTGGGAATTGCTTATAGGTATTGTGTTATCTATTGCTATGTCGAAAATTACCCCCAAACCTTAGTGTCTTAAAATGAGATTTATTATCACAATTTTTATGGGTTAGGAACTCAGGTGCAGCTTGGTGGGTGGTTCCAGCTCAGAGTTTCCTAGGGAAGGCATTCAGGATATCAATAGGGGTTGCAGGTATCTGAAGGCTTGACTGGGGACGGAAGATCCACCTGCTTCCACAATGGCTAACTCATGCAGCTTTTTTTTTGAGACAGAGTCTTATTATGTCACCCTCGGTAGAGTGCCATGGCATCACAGCTCACAGCAACCTCAAACTCTTGGGCTTAAATAATTCCTTTGCCTCAGCCTCCCAAGTATAGGCATCCGCCACAATGGCTGGCTATTTGGCTATTTTTTTTGTTGTCATTGTCATTGTTATGTAGCAGGCCCGGGTTCAAACCAGCCAGCCCCAGTGTATGTGGCTGGCGCCCTAACCACTGAGCTAGGGGCACTGAGCCTCATGCAGCTGTTTGAAGAGGCTTCCCGTCCTGGCTGATGGCAAGGAGGCCTGCATTTCTCACAAGGTGTGCATTTATAGGATGCTTAAATGTCATCATAACATTGCACCTGGCTTGCCCCAGAACAAGGGATTCCAGAAAAAGCTAACAAAGAGGAAACCCCAGTGCCTTTATCTAGTCTCACAAGGTGCACACTATCTTAGTCTGTTCCTGTTGTTATAACAAAAATAGCTCAGACTGGATAATTCATAAATAATAGAAACTTATTTCTCACAGTTCTGGAAGCTGCGAATTCCAAGATCAAGGTGCTGGTAGATGTGGTGTCTGGGGAGTGCTGGCTCTCTCTGCTTCAAACGTGGTATCCTGTTGCTATGTGTCCTCACATGGTCGAATGGTGGAAGGGGAAAAAGGGTTGGACACTGTCTGAAGCCTCTTTTAAAAGGCATTAATCCTGATCACCTCCTAAAGCTCTTACCTCTTAATCCTATCGCACTGGGGATAGTTTCAACATGTGAATTTTGAGGGGACATACCCAGACCATAGCACATACGGTCAATTACATTTTGTTCTAAGTCACCTAATCCAGCCTCCCTTCAGAAAGAAGGGAAATTAGGCTCCATGTCTTGAGGGGAGGAGTATTAAATGTTTTTTGATGTAGTTTAAAAACCACCACAGTAAAGTTTAAATCTCACAGAACTGATATTTCACAAAGTGTTGGGCAACTTTCCTAGATAGTAAATAACACTGTCGTACAGCCTTCACTAAATTTCAAATGAAACTAAAGTATTACAAACGTTTACGAAACAGCTGCCTAGAATATACAGTGCCCACATTCCGCATGAATATTCATTCATTCATTTCCCTCTCTCTCTCTCTCTCTACTAAGGCAAGAAGATTCTAACAATGCACAAGGCTTATTGAGTCTCATACTAGTGGAAATTTCCATCTACAATTATGAAATATTATATAAGTGATTCTCTTTACATTCTTTCCACATTATTGTAAAATACATAATGAACTCTATGAATTATACATTATGATGCTTGAGAATCAAATATTTTTAAAGTGAATCAGAGTCAGAGATGCAGAATATACAGATGGTATAGTCTAGCTCCCTCATTTAATAGATGACAAAACTGAGAGTCCACCAAGAAAAAAAGTTTTTCCTAGAGTTCTCACGCTGTTCGTGGCAGAAACACACTGGTGGCTGTTTGGTAATAATGTTGGGGATGGGATTTGAGGATTCAATGATTTTTGAGATCCTTTCCTAGTCCTAAAAAACAGTTACGTCTTAAGACAACATCTGGGAAAAGTACAATAGGGGTGACGTGCTCTCTCTTTTAACACTGTTTGTGAGTTACAAAATAGTCTTCTACATCTTTTAAGGTCACCTAGTAACTTAGTCGGAATTGGGAGTAAAGCCAAGGTCAGACATTCCCCTTGTTTAGATTCTTTGTACTCTACTCTGGAATTTTATGGCATTTATCATAAACTAAATTGGCTTTGTTGCATAAGCAGAGAGGATTAAGTAATAACTGTTACCTTATCTTTGTGGGAGACTGATATGCTCATATCTGCAAACACATTATGAATTATGTACTTATGTAATTTGATTTTAGATATGAAGCAAATAAAGGCAGGAACAGACCTGTGGTTTCCTGCCTCTCAGTTTAGGTACATTAGCCAGCAGACCTCTACTGACTGCACTGAAATTTTATAGCTTATATCAGCAGTTACATTTGTATGGCTTGCTAGGCATACAGCGTAAAAGATAAGATAGTTTTATTTGCTTTGTCTATTTTTCCAGTGAGGGCTTGGTGAATACATTGTGAATATGTCTTAAATTAAATATGCAAGATAATGTGAATAGTATAAAATATCATGGTTTATAATAGAAAATTCTCTTGCATTTCTTTCTGTGTATAGCTTTTAAAAAGTAGTGTGATTTTGGCTCAGTGCCCATAGCATGGTTACAGCATTGGCCACATACTCCCAGCCTGGCGGGTTCGAGCCTGGACTGGGCCAGCTAAACAACAGTGGCAACTGCAATAAAAAAAAATTGCTGGGCACTCTGGCGGGCACCTGTTGTCCCAGCTACTTGGGAGGTTGAGGCAAGAGAATCTCTTAAGCCCAAGAGCTTGAGGTTGCTGTGAGCTGTGATGCTACAGCACTCTACAGAGGGTGGCAAAGTAAAACTCTGTCTCAAAAAAAAAAGTAGTGTGATTTTGCATTGTTATAGCTTTTAAAAAATAGTGAATTTTTTTTTTTTTTTGACAGAGTCTCACTTTGTTATCGAGGTGACATGGTAAGACTCTGCCTCAAAAAAAAAAAAAAAAATTAGCATGTTCCCAGCTGGCCTAATTATCTTGACCTCTCTGTTCTCTTTCTCTTATGATCTCCATTTACCCTCATGGTCCCCACCTTGAAATCATTTTCACATCTCCTTTTCTCTTGCTCTTCAAAGTCTACCTCCAAATCTTTTAACAGAGCTATTCCTCTCTTTCATCTTCACAACCTCCCAAGTTCAGACACTGGTTCTCTCTTGCATGGGCCTTTATAGCAAAACTGTGCATCTGAACCGTCCCTGGCAGTCTTCCCATCTACGCTCGCTGTCACTGAACCAGGCAATCCACGTGGCTGCCAGTTCCCTTCCTAAAATATAAGTTAGATCAGTACTTCTTTCTGGGTGGAGTTCTCTTTCCTCAGAGATGAAGGATAAATTATGCACTTCTCAGCATGTCTCAACTTACCTTGAAACTTTTGGTTATAAAGATTCTTACATGCAAACATCAATCCTAGCTTGACAGTCTGTAAAGCTGGTGGCTTTTCCTCTGCTGACCCTCTTATGGAACTTCTACCCATTCCTTCATTCTCCCCTCCTCCACGTGGTGCTCATTTCCGTTGCAGAGTTAACTGCCCTCTCCTCTGTCCGCCTTGATACCACCTGTCTGTCTGTATTATGGCTCATAGTATACAGCTTTGTTTGTTTGCCTTTCCTAGTACTGACCCACAGGGCAGGATCCGAGTCTTATTCAAACTAGCAAAGGGCCTGCAATTCAATGTTTTAGATCAAAAAAACTTCCACTTAGAAACCCTTCCTGCAAAAATGAATCTTCTGCATTTTCAAAAAGTACTTTTATAAGACAAATGCTTTGTAACTGGCATCAGAACTCCAGAACTCAGAACTAGTCAATATATTGTGGTGAAGTAGAGGAGGATTACAGCATAAAAGTGTTAGTAATAGATTGATTTGGGTGTCTCTTTGTAAAGCATATTATGTGGTGTATAAAAAAAATCTTGTGATTACTGATTAATATAAAAATTTTATTCTAAAAAATAGTGTTAGCAAAATGTGTATTTTCCCCTTGAAATATAAAGAATGAGAAAGAATTTTTAAGTCAAATCTCCAATATTTCACTTAAAAGTGCATACACGTGATGTAAAGAACAAAGTCAAACAAGTGTGTGTGCAGATTACATTTGCAAGCAATAGTAGATCTGACCCCTGATAATAAAATTCTGTCAGCTCAGTTCACCATAGCTTTTCTTAGGAGAGAAAAATTTCCTAAGCTTTGCTGCTCTTGTGCAATTGATCCACATAGTAGTAAAACTCAAATTATTTTTTTAGCACTATACAAGTAATATAGAAAAGCATGATAAATAGAATAAAGAAAAAAAATGCCCTTAGAAACACCACCCAGAGGTGACTATAGGTTTCAATCTTTCTAACACTTCACACATTTTTTAACCTTAAACATGGCTGTGGTAATACTACCTGGGCAGTTTGCTAAGTTTTTTCCCCATTTAATACTACAAAAATGTTACCTTGATCCTTCTGTAGTTGTAAGTCTGAAAACTTGGTTTTCACGCTCGTGTGTGAGATGTGCCTCTTTCATACCTTGTTACAACGTCAGCTCATTAACTGTCTGGCATTGAAAAATAAAATTGTTACTTAAAATGCTACAGAGTAGATAGATCTCATTTTTAGACGCTCAGTTTTCACATCTCTTATTTCTGTATCTTGTGAATAATATTGTGATACAGCATTTATGAATAAAGCTCTTGCTCTATTTCAGATCATTTCCTCCAGAAAGAATTTCAGATATGGAATTATAGGTTCTAAGAGTTAGGAACATTCTTAAAGGCTGAATTACAGTGCCAAATTGCTTTAGAATGAAAAGTTATTTCAGTTATGTTCACAATGTCTGAGCTTACCCTTATCATCCCACCAGGCTTGAATGTTATCTTTTACTTAAATATTTACTAATATGATACTTGACTAAAATGTTACAGTTTCTGGTCTGTTTGCTCTTGCAGAGAATAGGATACAATCAAGGCTTTGGGGGTCAAATATATATTTGGGTTTGGTCATAGCTCTGCCTCTTCTTAGCCTTGTTACATCGGGCAAATTACTTAATCCTTTTTAGTCCCTCTTTATTTACTGGTTAAAAACAAGTCATTAATTGTATTTCCCCAAGCAGAGGGTTGTTTTAACCATTAGAGTCATGTGAAAGAATTGTACACCAGCACCTGCATATTACCAACAACAGCGAATCCTTCATTTTCAGTTGCAAAAGTTGTGTTATAAACTTTTGATTCGTGTACTCTTTACTACGGAATACTTACACATGCTACTTCGACTATTCACGCAACCTGATGTGGAAGGCTGACTATTACCAGGATAATTTTTGCACTCCAGGGACAATTTCAGGGAATGATCTTTTGGTGGTCACTAAGAACCACGTAAACCTGGGTTGGTTACAAAGCACACACCTGCTTTCTACCCTTGAGGAATTTGCCTTTGAGGGTAACCCTTAAGTCTCTCGGGACTTTTAATTGTTCAGTGAGGTCTCAAAGGGCCATAGTGGAAACTCACTAAAGAGGAAGCTTAGTGAAAGTGATCTGGAGATAGTTCCTGGAAAAAGGACTGTCTCAGGGAAGATGAGTGCTGAGGCAGGATGGATATGAATTATTCATTCCATAAAAGTACGTTCATGAGTTTTGTTATTTGCACCTAAAGTTTGTTCCCAAAAGGTAAGCTAAACTGCAAACAGGACAAGCCAGGCTACTCTGATTTTGTGCCCTTCCTGTTTGTACACAGCAAGTATTGCTGTTAGAAAATACTGAGGGCAGGCCGCGTGGAGTAGACGACAGAACAGTGCTCCAGAGCTTTCTAACTAATCCCAGTCTCTAAAGTGAATCGGCTAAATCAATGCCTAATTTTCCTTAAATCTAGAATAATTTAAATTAGGCTGCTCTTTGGGGCCCTATTTCCAACTTTCTCTTCCTACCGCACTCCTTCCAACTGCCAAGGACTGTCGTTGGTAATAAAAAAATTATCCCACATCCTTGCTTAGATTAAAATGTGCACTCCCGATTTGGGGCCACATCCCATTGAGGTTTGGGTGGAGTTTAAAAAAGCAAGTTTTTCTAGTTGGTTAAAATCTGCCAAGATAATTTAAACGTTCTTTGTTGCAAATACAAGCTCTTCTCACGTAGGCCCGTTGCGCTCTGCTACACCAGGGTTTTCAACACACAACAGCCAAGGACCGCGCTCACTTTGGATCCCGGTTCCCCGCGGGGAGACTCCCCCGTTTGGGGGCGACTCAGACGCCCGCAGTGAGTTCGCCGGCACCAGCGGGAGTTTCAAGTTTCAGTGGTGGGGGAGGCGGCGGGCGCGCTCTGAGCCTGGGGCTGGGCGGCTGGGCTTCCCTGGACCGCAGTCCTCGCCGCAGCCCGGGCCCCTCCGGAGGGACTCGCCCTAGCTGCCCCCGGGCTCCGCACGGCCGCCGTGCCCCCCGCGCCTCCAGGCCCAGAGCGCGACCCCCGGCACCGCCCAGCACCAGGCC